CTGGGATATTTTATTATACGTAGTCTTGTATAAATCTTGGTAAGCCAATTTCTTTACGGTAAGCGCTGCCGAAATTTCTACAAAACCAAGAAATTAATCAAAATTTGACTTTCAAAAAATTCAGGTTGCCTAAATTATATACATGACTTAGTAAAAATATGAAAAATCTCCTTTTGTAAATGGAGTGTTGCCCAATTTTTTGCTAATTCAAGGAGTTAAACAAAATTAGACTTGGGGAAGTCAAAGTTATTTTCTAGATTTTGAACTTAGTTTTGTATAAATCTTGGAATAACATTTTCTCTAAAAAAAGCGCTGCCGAAATTTCTACAAGTCTAAGAGGTTAGTTGAACTTTGTCTTAAGTCGAACTCAAGTCTGGCTTCCGAGTTCTTATCTGACTTAGTATAAATATGAGAAGTCTAACTTTCTAAAGGAGTGCTGCCCAAATTTTTACCAATTCAGAGAGTTGGACAAAATTTAGCTTTCCAAAGTTAAATATCATTTCTGTTTTCATATCTGATCTTAGTAAAAATTTCAAGAAGACACTTTTCCTACGGGAAGCGCTGCCGAAAGGAGATATGTTATATTTTGACAAGTCATAATTATGAGAATCCACTCTGTATAAAGGAGATTCTGCCAAAGGTCTACCGTTTCTTTAGACACTGACTTAGAGGTAGGTTTAGACTTAGTTTGGAGGAGAACCTTGAATGAGATTGTGATATGGAGATTATTCTCCTTGAACTTATAGATTTAACTTGGCGATTGACTTGTCTTATGTTACAGGTCATCTTCATCGTTTGATTCAAAATTTGGAGTAGATTCAACTTAATCCCACGAGAATCATCTTTTGTTATCACTGATAACAGATCGGTTACCGATTCGTCGGTTTACGACTCAACTCCAATTCATCGTCGATACTCAACCTAAAAAGACTTTAGCCTGGTGATTTTTTGTTTTATTAAGGTTTTCACCCGAAATTGTATTGAATGACCATTTAACAAAGGTACTGAGTATTTAATTATGGAAGTTTGGACAAAGGTTGGAGCTTGCATGACTAAAGCGAGGGGTATGAGTATAGATAATGGTTGAAGTTGACTCCGTGTAGTGTGTGGATTTTTTGTTGACTCTTTGATGTGATTGCAGGTATGTTTTGTGGTTTGGATTTTGTATTTGACTGTCTGCGATCACATACATATATATGGTTGTGAGGAGTGCACTGTGATTGTGAGAAGTGGTCGTCACATACTTATTTCCTACTATATATATATGCACATACCTATTTTTGGTGGTTCGCGTGGCCTAAGGGGCCCACGCTTAAGGGTTAAATTGAGGTAAAGGTTGAAAAAGGAAGGGGAATTCTCTCTTTTTACTGATTATTTATTTTTTTAAGATTTTTTAATCGGACGTTGGTCCTGGGCTGGATTCGAGCTCCTTGTTCATGACATCCCAGGTCTTAGACTCTGCATGAAAGGGATCACCCCCCCCGCAGAGGTTATTTGCCCTGCCTGGGACACTCAACCTTAAGGTCGGAGGTCCCGCGGAGGTCGCACGACTGTTCCTTCAACCGTGCAATATCATGAAGGAGTAGACTCTCACGATACTTCGAGTTTGCCACTTGAGTGTCATAAGCGGTACTCGAGCCCACAAAAGACCACTTGATTATGGACACTGCATAGTATGTCATCATCACGACTGCTTGCATATTCATACATTGTTAGTCGATATGAAAGGGCTTTGCGCCAGCGCGGTTTTATACTAAGTCCCGCGCGCATCGCCTATCCGATTCTGCATCGGAGAGTTATTGGATGACTACTAAGGGACTAGGAATGTTGTCGCGTTGTTTATTCTGTGTTGGTTTGTATATGTACGTGTGCGTGTGTGTTCTATTTTTTATGTCTTTAAACTGGTGTACGCGTGGTGTGTGGGATTTGTCCCAGTCGACCGACGACGAGTCGTGCTTGGGACCTCAGCCCCCCAAGGCGTCGGTTTGCATGCGAGTCCGATAAAGGCGGAAAACCGCGCATACCCCCTATGCTACAGCGACACAAGTGGTTATCGGGTAGATGAAATTCATGAATGAAAATACTGAAGTGAGAGTTTTTGGCAGTCTGAAAATCCTGAATGGTCCTGAAGTGATGAAAAGTTCGAAGACCTGAAAAACCACTTGTTTAGGCAGGCTGCATCCTGAAGTGGTGAAGGGTGTCCTGAAGTGGTCAAGTGAGAGTTTTGAGCAGTCCGAAAATCCTGAATGGTCCTGAAGTGGAGAAATGTCTGAAGACCATGAAAACCACCCTTCACCACTTGAGGATGCAACCTGCCTAAACAGGTGGTTTTCAGGGTCTCCGGAGCTTTCACCACTTCAGGACCATTCATGATTTTCAGACTTGAATGGTCCTGAAGTGGTGAAAGGTCCGAAGACCCTGAAAACCACCTGTTTAGGCAGGTTGCATCATGAAGTGCGGAAGGGTGTCCTGAAGTGGTGATGAAAAATACGACTGTTGTTAACCTTCTCTCTACGGCGAACGAGAAACGCCCTCATCTGGTCAACCTCTGTGATTGCAGTTGATTAGCTTTCGTACTGTGGACTGGTAGCTCGGCGGGGATACTCGCAGCGAAGAGAGGTGACAACTCCCCTAAGGTGGAGGTAAGTCGTGCCTTGCGTAGACCTTATCCTGTCGTAGGGGCTCGCGAGAGGTATGGCTGGCGCACTCGTCCGGAGCGGCTTGCGGAAGCTCCATGTGTATTCGCGATGAGGGGTAGACCAACTCCTGCGTGACGCGGTCGGGAGGCTCCCGCCCTGCTTGTGCGGTGCCGGACCGATGTGCTCGACACCGCAAGACCAGGGACGGGTAATTTTTGACAGGGGGGGTAGTGGTGGGTTAAGTCGCTCAGATATGAGAGAGGTGCACTCAGACTCGCGTGAGAGCGTCTTCATCTCTTGATGCGCCTGAGGGTCCTGCAATGGCGGCAAAAAAAACAGACACAGTCAAACGGCCACTTTTGCAGTCGGTAGGCAGCACACTCAAACTCTGATTCTCTTCAAGCTGCAGTAATAGCACTTATGTAGAGCCGAATCACTCCCCCAAGCTGCAGTAATCATGCGCCGCCGTTATGTCCAAGTTAATTACAACAGAAGTCTGCTGACACTGTGCGCCCAGCAGCCGTGCACAGCGGCGTGTACCTGGTGTACAGCCCAGCAATACGTAGCAGCTTGCCGACACTGTGCGCCCAACAGTCGTGCGCAGTAACCAGGCGAAGGTAAATAAAATACAGCGGCAGGTCAACCCTATACGGCCTCCTTTTGTCTGGTGCCGCCAGCCATTTTGCTTCGGCGGCCGAGCCCCAAAAGTTGCAGCGCGTGGAGGACCCCTCCCCCCCCCCCAGTCCATGTATGGGCCAAGTGGTGTTACATTTTACCCCTCCATTGGCCTGTCCTTTGCCGCCAACCCTTTTTTTTATTTTTTATTTTTATTTTAAAGGCTAATTCTTTAAGCCCAACCAATTCAATTACCTGTCAAATCTGGACAGGACGGCCTTTCAGGCCTTTTTTTATTGTCATTATAGTATTACGGGGAACCCGTAGCAGCCACATCCGTGCGCAAGCCTCCAACGAGGGAACATGAGGGAGCTGCACCCACCAGCAGGTGCGATACCTGCTACAGCAGGTGGCCAAGGGTCAGCCGGTAGCATCAGGACCGAGCTTCTTCGATGGGCCAGTCACTGTGCCTCCCCTCCGGTCCCCTCCCCCTATGAACATCAGCAGTCTTTGCTCAATGCCACTCGGGGGGACCAAGGTGGCGGGCGCCAAGCTTGCCCAGGAAGGTACATGAGGCCAATGGGGATTGAACCCAGAACCTCCTGAATGCCACTTGCGTGCCTTACCAACTGAGCTAGGCCCCTGGATCCAACGCCTTTTCCACTCTGCCCCTGGATTATTTAAATTTTCTCCTTTTTCTCTGCCCCTGGACATATTCCTCGCCCAACTCGCTGCCTCCACGCGGCATGTCAGTTCATTCATCGACAGCCACGTTGATGTGCAGCTTTTCTTTTTCCATTCTTTTTGGGCATTGATGTTTATCGATCATCATGATCGATGCTTTTCGGGTGTGTGACAAAAAGTGACTGGTTTGAAATCTAGTAATCAAAATAAGTAGGAAACCGGTTTGGAAGGGCGGTCCCTAGCTGGTCGTAGATTGGTGGTAGGGTTGGCGGCAGTCCCTGGACTATCGTCCTCGCCCAACGGGCTGCCACCCCGCGCGCTCGCTGTATGTCAGTTCATTCATCGACAGCCACGTTGATGTGTTTTTTATTTTTTTGGGCATTGATGTTCGTCGATCATCATCGATGGGCGTCTGACAAAGTGACTGTTTTTTTTTTTTTTTTTACACAAAGTGACTGGTTTGAAAGTAAGGTATTATATTATTTCTCGATTTATGCGTGTCATCCTTGTTAGTAAGATAACAAAGTAATTAGTATGAAACCGATTTGGGAGGGCGGTAGCTACCGGAAGGTAGACCGCAACTGGTCGGTGGTCGCACGTAAGACATAGATTGGTGGTAGGATTGGCAGTAGGCCATAAAGTTTTTACTGAACTGCCGGTTTTGCCGGGCGTTCACTTCCCCGCTCCAACCTCCCGCCTGCCCCCCGCCTTCCCGCCTGCGCCCCCCCTCCACCCTCCGCCCTCCGCCCTCCGCCCCCCCATCCTGGAAAATGATAATTTTTGGCGGGCTTTGGGTGTGAGGGCAGTGCAGCGGGGGTTACATAGAACAGCGTGCCTCAAGAGAGCGCGGCGCGTGTAGGTGGGTTAACTTGTCATTCTATCCCCAGGTCTGCCTTCCGATGTGCGTACGCTCGCGCGGTCGCAGCTCGCTCCTCTCGCGGCTCTCCTCTTTCGAGTCCTACGCGCATATGATGCTACGCCTGTCTCTTATACACATCTAGATGTGTATAAGAGACAGACATAGAACAGCGTGCCTCAAGAGAGCGCGGCGCGTGTAGGTGGGTTAACTTGTCATTCTATCCCCAGGTCTGCCTTCCGATGTGCGTACGCTCGCGCGGTCGCAGCTCGCTCCTCTCGCGGCTCTCCTCTTTCGAGTCCTACGCGCATATGATGCTACGCAGAAAACACTGGACGATTCTACAGAAGAGGCGGAATCGATGGATTGGCATTGATTGACTGCGAGCACACTCACACCAGGAGTGAGTTGTGGACGCGATTGTGGTCGGATGCAACCAGGTCCGGCCGTAATTGCGGCAGGTACATTCCGCAAAGTGCTCGTGTGAGAATGTCCTGACGTCTCCGCTGCTCGCTGCAGCTGCCGTGGAGAAGGGGAGGGGCGTTGGAATCGAGGGGGAGGGAGACAAGGAAGGTGGCAGAGAGGCAACCGACCGGAGGCTCCTGTGCGGTGGGAGAGAAGAGCAGCAGCGAGCGGAGGAGAGGGGAGGAGGAGGAGGAGAAGGGAGGAGAGAGGAGCAAAAGCCGTGGTACCAAGCACTGCAGAGATGTCGTTCTCATTCTTCAGGTTCAAGGCGAAAACCCCGGTTGAGCTGATCAGACACACAAGGGAATGTCTGCAAGCCATTCGGTCCCCCCCCAAAGAAGGGGTCAATGGGCATGGAGACGGCCGAGGGGGGGAATCAAGAGCACTGGAGAAGGTAGGTAAACGACGCCAAAACACGTTGCTTCATGGAATTCACTTACTGTCATTAATTATGTCGTCGGTAATTGTGTCGTCCATTTGTTTGCTTGATCCTGTCGTTAATTGTGTCTGACGCGGGCTTGGTTAATGTAATGGCCGGATTCATTTTGCCACCCACTGCAACCGCGGTTCGACCTTAACGTCTGTTCCTGACAGCGTCATTTTCCTTCGTTACGTAACGGATTAGCATAATGGGATTAGCAAATGGGATTAGCATAATGAGATTAGCATAATGAGATTAGCATAATGGGATTTGCATTATCAATGTCTGTTCCTGACAGCGTCATTTCCCTTCGTTACGTAACGGATTAGCATAATGGGATTAGCATAATGGGATTATCATAGAGGGATTAGCATTATTGGCTCAAACTTACGTAACGGATTAGCAGAATAATGGGATAGGAATGTAAAACGTAACGGACGCAGAGCGACATGAGATATGACAAGCGACCAGCAACCGGAAAAGCAACGAGTCATGCGCGCGGGAAGCGAAATGCGTGAGCTGATAGATACAACGTATGTATGGTGTGAATGATGACTGAGGTCCTTGGCAAATCTGATAAACGGGACGTTTGCACAGAGATTGGAACAAAACACTCAACCAATTTCACATTTGGCGAGGTAGTTTTTTTTTTTTTGTATATGTTTCCCTTTCGTGCATCGAGGCGCTTCATGATAGTAATGGGTGAAGGGTCTTGTTTGGTAAGGAACTGCCAGTGTGCTCTGTGTATTGAGCCGCCCTTTGGTTGGGCGGGGAGAGAGAGAGAGAGAGAGAGAGAGAGAGAGAGAGAGAGAGAGAGAGAGAGAGAGAGAGAGAGAGAGAGAGAGAGAGGTCCGCTCCGCACACACGGCTCCGAGTTGAGGCGGCCTGGAGGCGGCTGTCGTCGTGACTCTTCCTCACATTACGGCGGCGAGGAACACGACAGCTAAAGGGAAGAGCAAGACGTCAACAGAGGCGCTAGCAGGAGGAAGAAAAGGGACTCGGGAGCTGGGCTAGGGAACAGGGTGAATTGGGAAGCAGGAGGAGGAGTAGGAGGTAAGAAGAGAAGATGCCGTCGTTCGCTTCTTCATCTGTTCGTTATGGCGTTGTGGGATGTAATGGAGATGTGTTTTGTGATTCATAATCGATGTTGTCGTTGTGTTTGCGATGAAATGAAGAAGATCGGGATAGCGGAGAAGGGCAAAACGATAGGTGTTGAAGGAATTGTTGGCGGGAGAGAGAGAGAGAGAGAGAGAGAGAGAGAGAGAGAGAGAGAGAGAGAGAGAGAGAGAGAGAGAGAGAGCGGAAGAAGTGCTTTCGGAGAGTTGTGTGTTCGCCTGCCGCAGGTTGCTCTCCCCTTTTGTTCTGATCATGACCGACTCGCCAATCATTGTCGGGGGGAGAGAGAGAGACACACACACAGAGAGAGAGAGAGAGAGAGAGAGAGAGAGAGAGAGAGAGGAAGAAGTGCTTTCGGAGAGTTGTGTGTTCGCCTACCGCAGGTTGGTCTTCCCTTTTGTTCTGATCGCGACCGACTCGCCAATCATTGTCGGGGGGAGAGAGAGAGAGAGAGAGAGAGAGAGAGAGAGAGAGAGAGAGAGAGAGAGAGAGAGAGAGAGAGAGAGCGAGCGAGAGCGGAAGAAGTGCTTTCGGAGAGTTGTGTGTTCGCCTACCGCAGGTTGGTCGTCCCTTTTGTTCTGATCGCGACCGACTCGGCAATCATTGTCGTCATCACCTCTGGTCGGCTTTCGGAGAATGCTCGTTCCCTTTCTGTTTTTATTAGTATTTCTTATTTATGTTTCTTTCCGTGCCTGCTGGGAACCGTAATTTTAAAAATACGGTATAATCTTCAGTCTGGAGTGTGTGTTGAATCGTCCTTTTGTCTATGCATAGCCATTATGTATGAGCGCCGGGAACGAGCGCTCATACATGTTAATCGTTGTCCTGTCTTAGTTTCGAAATACCGTTGGAATTCCCCGCCAGGTGCCCGGCAGACTGGTCCTGCACTCGGTCGCTTCTTTTTCTGGTCCTGCATCGGAGTCTTAGTGGTTGTGCGCGTCCAATGACCAGATCCGATGAACTGTCGTGTTCTTTTTTCATTCCCGCCAACACCCGTTCTTTAACCATTTTCTTCTTCTTCTTCTTCCTCTTCTTCGTCTTCTTTTTTATTTAATTATTTATTTAATTATATTAACT